ATTGATTACATTTTTTATATTTATCATATAATTAATGGAAAATTAGGGAGATTTCAATTATATTATGTGTATACATCAATGATAATTCTAAGTATGAAAATAGCAGTCTTACCTTGACGATTTCTAATTTTAACTAACTTTTGTCAATGCTGTCTCAAAGGTATTTATATGTTATAAATGCTATACGAATATACATACCAAGTTAAATATTCAATATAATTTACGTCAATCGTATATATTTAATTCTAATAAATTAAATGTCATTTGCAATTTCATTGTTCTTTCGATGTCCAAATGATTGCAGTTTTATATCATACAATAAATATCCTCAGATGAAAGTCAGTTTAATAAAATTCACGAAGTTTTAATATTTATTCAGCTTACCTTAATTTTTATCGACGATTATTTTTAACAATTCATCGTATACCTAGAGAGCGATAAAGATAAAATGTTTCGCAGCTTTGTGAATCGCTCTTTACCCGTTAAAGGAAAATAATTGAAAACGAGCACGTCGTTCAGTCAGCTGACCTGTCTTGTGATAGCAGCCAGGCGAGCCTGTGAAGCTTGACTTGCTGCTGTAGATTGGAGTTCGATACGTTTCACGTTTCGTAAGTTCCTCATCGTCATTTATTTCGTTGACTGTAGACCGCTACGCTTCATAACCAGTTAATATATAGCTGCAGCGATTATAATTATCACATACTATATAGAGAATACCAATGATTTATACGAAAAAGACTGGCGCGTATAGTATCGATCGTGCTAGTTTGAATGCGCCATCGTTTTTCGGTCATCGTTACAATTTTCCGTGGTTTCCTTGCCTTCCCACGATCACGGAGATTTAATCGTTTCGTAGAAAGTCATACTTGTAGTAGATTAGATCGGTCTATTCTTCACGGTAAATAATCCTCATCGGCTTCGACGTTTAGCTATTATATGTCTCGCGGGCTTGAAGAGGGCTACGCCTACTTTTTAAATGAACTGCTCACGTGAATTCTATAGTGAATGGATGCGTTAGCCGACATCAGAGATCTCACCGATTTTAGCTATGATTGAATTAGACATTTGATTCGATATTGTTATCGTGTCTTGTACACGATTTTCGTTCTTTCGAATTGTACATTTTCGTCGATCTATGATCAGTTATTGTTGATCAGACGTCAGTATGTAGTGACATTAACTTGATTTTGTAATCAATGATTTTGGTTCAGAAATTGAGAGTTGTTAAAATTTTCATGATAAATAAGAAGCATAGTAAATGAACTCTAAATTATAAAAGTATTACTTTCCTACTTGGCACTTATATTGTTAAATGTTTTCAGTTGTTTGTTGGGTTTGCTTAAATAAGTGTTCACAATGAGTCGTGGATTGAAAACGATTGGCAATGAAGAGAGGGAGAGAAAATTCGGCTATGTCTATGCAGTGTCTGGACCTGGTCAGTATATAATATATATTTTTCTCAACTAAGTAGTAATTATGATTTCATTCATATCTATTTTTCTATAGTGGTCACTGCTGAGCAAATGTCAGGATCAGCTATGTACGAACTGGTCAGAGTAGGATACAACGAATTAGTAGGAGAGATCATTCGTTTGGAAGGTGACATGGCAACCATTCAGGTAACGTAAACTTCCAGTTGATGCTTATTACAATTTTATTATACAGTTACATTAGGCAGAATTTTGTTTTATATAGGTGTATGAAGAAACCAGTGGTGTAACTGTAGGTGATCCAGTCCTACGTACAGGGAAACCACTGTCCGTAGAACTTGGTCCTGGTATCCTTGGCAGTATTTTTGATGGTATTCAAAGACCATTGAAGGAGATCCATGAACTGACAGGTTCTATCTACATCCCAAAAGGTGTTAATACACTTGCATTGTCGAGAACTACTGCTTGGGAATTTAATCCGTGTAACATTAAGAATGGCAGCCACATCACTGGCGGAGACCTCTACGGTATCGTTTATGAAAATACATTGGTCAAACATAAAATGATCCTGCCACCCAAGAGCAAGGGTACTGTTACGTACGTCGCACCTGCTGGCAATTACACCGTTGAAGTAAGTTACAATTCGATTTACGAATAAATTATTTTGATACAGGTGTATAATATTTTCATTTTATAGGATGTTATCTTGGAAACAGAATTCGATGGTGAGAGACACAAGCACAGTATGCTTCAAGTGTGGCCTGTACGTCAACCACGTCCAGTCACTGAAAAACTACCAGCTAATCATCCTCTGCTTACTGGTCAACGAGTCTTGGACTCCCTATTTCCGTAAGAACTCCCTCATTTGTATATGTCATGCGTGAAAATGGATATTAATATATCTGTGGTATTGAAAATTGCAGCTGCGTTCAAGGTGGTACCACTGCTATTCCCGGTGCCTTCGGTTGCGGTAAAACTGTAATTTCGCAAGCTCTGTCCAAGTATTCGAACTCCGACGTTATCATCTACGTCGGTTGCGGAGAACGTGGTAATGAAATGTCTGAGGTATTGCGAGATTTCCCGAAACTGACGGTTGAAATCGACGGAGTCACCGAGTCTATCATGAAACGTACAGCATTGGTTGCGAACACTTCAAACATGCCTGTAGCTGCTCGTGAAGCTTCTATTTATACAGGTAATCAACTGAAAGGAATCAATAAATTCATAATTGAACATGTTATTTATGATGAAACGTTTTAGGTATTACTCTGTCGGAATACTTTAGGGATATGGGTTACAACGTATCCATGATGGCTGATTCAACATCACGTTGGGCGGAAGCTCTTCGTGAAATCTCAGGACGATTGGCTGAAATGCCTGCTGATTCCGGTTATCCGGCCTATCTCGGTGCTCGTTTGGCTAGCTTCTACGAACGTGCGGGAAGGTAATATATCTCCAATCTTCACTAAACAGTTTTAATCAGTTGATCGTAGCGTTGATATTAAACTATGTTTCCAGAGTCAAATGTTTAGGTAATCCTGACCGTGAGGGTTCCGTCAGTATAGTAGGTGCTGTATCACCGCCTGGTGGTGACTTGTCTGATCCGGTTACCAGTGCAACTCTTGGAATCGTCCAGGTACTTTGTTAATGCTTCTTATTTTTTATCTATACGATTTAGTTCTTTATGTGTCAAATTTCATTCTTAATTCTAACTTTCTCTTAGGTGTTCTGGGGTCTGGACAAGAAACTTGCGCAACGTAAACACTTCCCATCCATTAATTGGCTTATATCATACAGTAAATATCTTCGTGCTCTAGACGACTTTTATGATAAGAATTTCCCAGAATTCGTTCCCTTGAGAACAAAAGTAAAAGAGATCCTCCAGGAGGAAGAGGATCTTTCAGAAATTGTACAGTTGGTCGGCAAGGCTTCTCTGGCCGAAACAGATAAAATTACTTTGGAAGTTGCAAAACTGCTAAAAGACGACTTTTTGCAACAGAACAGGTATACGCAATTTTATAAAATTAGAACCAAGCGATAATACACAATTACAATCCCTCTCGATGTTAATACTTATTTTTCAATTGTACAGTTACTCGCCATATGATCGTTTTTGCCCATTCTACAAAACTGTCGGAATGTTACGAAACATGATATCGTTCTACGATATGGCAAGGCACGCAGTCGAATCTACGGCACAATCAGACAATAAAATAACGTGGAATGTTATTAGGGATAGCATGTATAATATTCTCTATCAATTGAGTTCCATGAAGTTCAAGGTGAGCAGAAATTATCGCTAGGAAAATTTTATCAGTTTTGTAAGTAGCAATGGTTGCGTAATCTGTCTGATTTCATTCCGTTTAGGATCCGGTGCAAGACGGCGAAGCGAAAATCAAAGCCGACTTCGACCAACTGCACGAAGATATTCAACAAGCATTTAGAAATTTAGAAGATTAATTATCAGAAGCACTCATACAAGTATAAGTTCTCTACGTTCAGGAACCTTATGCTGGTCATTTAAGGATGTCCTGGATCTATCAAAGAGAAATGTAACAAGCATTCATAATTACGTATCGCGTATTACGTTGTTATGTTATTCCCGAATGATTACAAAAAGAAATTGTATATATAAGAAAAAGTTACAAATATAAAGTCTTCTATAATTGTATGTGTATCAACTTATTGTTTAAGCGGGAGATCGTGCGTGATGGCTGAAACTATAAAGTTGTAGGATGTCCTTAAATGCATTTCCAGCTTCTATAAATACACGTTATACATATATATATATACATAAATATATACGTTAAGTGGCATAACAAGTTACTTTAAATTCTTTTGAAAGTTTTACGCAATTAGTTGAATTGTTGAAAGAGGCAACGTATTCGCTAGCGAATTAAGCTTTTAATCATTTTATCCGTCGCAAGTGGAAAGTTAATTACGAAAGGAACTTCTGTATGTATGTAAAATGAAAGTACGAGCATGTAAGAAGCCAGTGTAAGAAGCTTTCCAGTCATCCGTAATTGTTTCGTGAAAAAAAAGGCAATTGCTTCATATTTTGCTATATCTTGGGATGATATGATAGCTTTTTACCGAAGAATGGAACTACACTCAAAAAGTATTAAACATTGTATTATAATAGTGTATTATGTAAAAGCGTTAAGTGACGAGTGCAAATGTTACGTAAAAGTAGATGTTTTAAACGTTGAAAGCATTGATATATGATCTATTAAAGAAAAGTGTCAAAATGTTAACTGTTGGGGTGCAGGGCCTTTCTTTGTCGTTAAACAGAAAATATGAAAATAATGCATCGCGGGCAGTGTTTCAGTAACTTCGACATTTCCATTGTATCATATGTAAAAAAAACAAATAAACATTATCCGCATAAAAAAAAACAGATTTTCTTCAAGATGAAGACTAAAGAAAGACAGCAGTATATTTCGATAAATTTTGTTTTAATAATAATATTATTATAATAACAATAACCTTCGCGGTATTTACATCAACGATATATTACAAATCAGTATTTTACTTAACTCGCTTGTTCCAACGCTTAGCGTTCGAAATTTTCTCGTATTGAAAAAAATATGTTTATTGCTACATGCATACGCAGATGCATATGTACACACATGTATACGTGTATATGTACATTACATATGTAAATATACATACATACAGATTTATACGTGTACGATTAATCTATTTTACATGTTCCGTTCCTACATCATGTTTTATGAAGTATCTACTCTACACTCGTGAAAACAGTATTAAAAATAAAAAATATTTAACGATTTCTGTAATGATTTCAGTCGTGACATTTTGCATCGCGATTTTCTTGTTAATGCCGCAACAGAATTTAGTCACCTTCATTTAAATCAACTCTGACTACGACATCTAACATTTTCTTTTTCAAAGTTCCAAATCAGTGTTCAATGTTCACAGCCCTGGGTCGTCCAACGTACACGAGGTAATTCGATCCAATACACATAGCGTACACAGAAATAATTCTTTCCTCTAGGTCCTACGTGGAATAATCGCAACTTCAATTAACACCGGTCGATTAGTAGTATATGTATATATCATCTAGATCGTAACGGTTCTTAGAATACTTTGTGAATTTAGCAAGCATTGAACAGCGATGAGAAATTTCGGTAATCGTCTCTTTGTCATCTTATCAAAGGAGTTGACAACATCATGAAAATTTACGCTTCTGTGCATTGTTTCCGTTAATTACGTTCCTGCTCTAAGTGGCGTTACAGTACAAGATTCTGTACTACTATTTGTATGCACCACAGATCTGAACACCAGTTTTCTTAAGTCTTCGGAATGCAGGAGAGACGTTCACAAAGTCAAAGAACAGAGGTGTACAGTGCACAGATGACCGTACCATTAGGACCGTGTGATTTACTTCGACAAATGTAATCCCAATATAACAAAATTGATGCATGACCCCCGTGAAACATAAATTCCAATTGTAAATACTTCTTGTAACTACTAAATCAGGTCATATCCTAATATTTACAGGCTTAAGCATTGTGTTCGACTAATAAAGTCTTAGGGATTCAAGTGAACGTCGGAGCTCGTTCCCGTAGTACCCGTTGAGATTTGTGATCTAAGTTGAAGATTCTCGCGTTTCAATTGTGTTACAAGTTGCTTCAACGCTGTTATTTCTTGCCGCAGTTTCTCATTGTCTCGCAAACATTGACCTAATCCTTGGTTGGCCGTTCGTAATTCTGTTATATATTCACAGGCTTTCGATAAAATTCCACCTTTACTCTGTACAAGAAACTTACGATGAAACACTACCGTAAATATGTGTATTAATAATAAACTGCAATTCAGTACCTGCGTCTCATAGTTTGCTTTTCCTTCACCACTGCCACTGCTATTCACACCCGTATTGCACTCAGGAATTATTTTTCCTAATTTTGCAATCCAATTGTTTATTTTGTCTCTTCGTCTGCGTTCAACTTCGTTATGTGTAGCTCTCCTTCTGTCATCTCTCTAAAAATATCCAAATGAGTCAGAGAAGACTATAAAGTATTGTATTATTATGATTAAGAGAAAAATTCACTTTTTTCAAAACAGTAGTACAATTTCTTGGTGTTTCTATCTGTAGAGTAGTAGTCCTAGGAATCAATGATCTAGAAGTTTGTGCGGTGGTGAAAACATCGTTAGCATTTCCAATAACATAAAACTGGCCATTTAAGGGGGATGTTAGGACCTGTACAGTATTGGATCCTGACTGAGTTACTGGCAGTTCTATTTCACTGCCAGCAGTAGTGCCATTTACTTGAACCACTCTATACGCAAGAGCTTCTTGGTAACGCATCCCACCTTCTCCAACAGGTTCCCCTATGAAATATTTATAATTCAAGTGTTTCTGTTTGAAGATGTTACATTTCTCATCGAATTCATTCTATTATAATTACTACAATTCATGGGTTTATTAGTTACCTTCGCATTCGACGATTTCCGCTTCCTCGATAACAATCCCCGTGCTGTTGCCATCCTTCACGTTAACTGTGCTGTAAAACAAGCGTAGATTCGTTGAAGAATGGATATGTAGTTGATCTATAGAATTACGTCTATGCCTATTACTTCCACGACCGTTGTCCTAAGTCTTGTAAGTGCGCACTGTGCACTACGTGTTGACCTTGGGGAGACCTCGAGCGAAACAGGAGGGATAGGTGTTCGCATTATCAGCCAGTCGATATTTAACATAAACACTACCTGACATCCTGTTGTTTGAGGTGCTGCTCCAATATATCCATTTTTTGTCTACCAAAAACGTTTGAATTTGTCAAAATTCACGTGAGCTGGTCACGGGACACGGCAACGAGGTCATGTGGTGCACAAGATGGCGAATTCTGATTACAATGCCATCTAGCAAACCTCCAATTTACAATCTTCATCGCATGGCACATTTACGAATGAATTTACCGATCACTGATGATTGTAAATGAAAAATATTAGAGAATTAATTGAAGATCAATTTCAAGATTCCCAGGTTTAATTTAAATATAATTTTGTTCATAATCTTTAATTATCTAAGAGCCAAGAAGCCTGTACTTCTATAATTCCTTCTTAGTTTCATGAAGACTAGAGTATTATTGCAGGAGAAACAAGGGCTGATATTCAAAGTCTTTGCTTATTGTTAAAATCGTCTTAAGCATTTCCTATCCCTGTCTATCCCATATTTCCAATCTGTTCTGTGTACAGGAAACAGGGACTAAATATATTTGAATATCGTTTTTAATTCATTCAAAATGAAGATTAAGAAAAGATCCAACGCTGTGAGAGTTCCGCCGCTAAAGAAAGCTATAAGAATCAAACGGAATCCATCAGATGTAGAATCAACTGTGTCTAAAGCAATAGAAAATGTTAAAAACGTTCTGAAGGTTAGGAAATTAGCATAATCAAATGTTAAAACAAAAAAAATAAAAGCGCATAGTCTAGTATGAATATTAAACATTTTTTAATATTCTGCAGAAGAAGAGAGAGAGTATTAAAGCAGTAAAACCAGTATCAACTCCAAAAGCAAAGGAACCACGAAGAAATGAAGTTCGTAGTAAAAAGAGAGTTCAAGAAAGGCCGAAAATAATTCGTAAGAGAGAACCACGAGGTGTAGTTTACATAGGACATATTCCTCATGGGTTCTATGAAGAACAAATGTCAGAGTATTTTAAACAATTTGGCAGAGTAACTAGAGTACGTCTTGTTAGGTCAAGGAATGTAAGTATCTGTTAAGTACAAGGTTAATACAAAAGTTCACATCATGTTCAAAAACATTACATGGACTATATGAATGATTGCTTTTTTATATATTACATATCATAAATTGTACGATATATGTTTTTAGAGCGGGAGAAGCTGTGGTTATGGATATGTAGAATTTGCTGTACCTGAAGTTGCAAAAATAGCTGCTGAAACAATGAATAATTATCTCATGTGTGACAGATTATTGAAAGGTAAATAATATCATTTAATGTATAGATCAGAGTCGCAGACTTTTGCCACATTAAAAATTAAATTTCTTTAAATCTCAATCGACAATTGGAATATTCTTTAATTGAGAATTAAGATTCGATTGTTAATCCGATTAAGCTAATTAAGTCAACATTTATTTTTAGCTACTTATATTCCTGTTGAAAAACAACATCCTGGCTTCTTTGCTGGAAAATCATGGTCAAAGGAAATTTATCCCAAAGCGATAAACAGAAAGGAAGTAACTAGAATAAGAAATGGAAATATTAAAAGACGAGAGCATAAAAGTTTTGTGCAAAGTACAAAAGACAAACTATCTAATTTAGAAAAGAAAATGAAGGAGCAAGGTTTCGATATGGAATTCATACCAATCGATAATTAAACAAAAATACGGAAGTATCGTTAATGTCTTTTTATTAAATACAAACAAATGGAAAATCTGTTTTACACAATTTCGTAATACAGACAAGAAAATTAGCTACTACAGAAATATTTGCTTTTTTTTTATGTAATATCTATGTACAAAAATAATTTGTTAAGAACCATTCACTTTCTCTAATCCCGTTTTCGCCCTCTTCCATTTCATGCGTCTGTTTTGAAACCAGACCTTCACCTTCAAAAAGCTGCAATTAGTTAACTTGTAACTGATTTCTCAAGCGCACTTCGTAATGTGTAAGAGTAGTTTATGTACCTGGCGTTCTGTTAAATCCAAAGCAACAGCTATTTCATAACGGCGTAAACGTGTGAGGTAATTACTATGCGCGAATTCGTGTTCAAGATGACGAACTTGATACTTCGTAAATGCTGTCCTCTCCTTGCGAGGTTTGTCGCCGGTTCTTTTATTTCTCTCTGTAATAATAAAATCTTCTGTGTTTTAATGCGCAATGCAGAAAGTGATATTCACATTCTTATTCCATGTACATAATTAAAATTCGATAGGGACCAAGGTTCTCCTGGCTCTCCTATCTAAAAATTATTGAAATATGTAAAAGTATGTTCAACACGAGCTTATTTTTATTTTATAATAAAGAGTATACTTCGATTAAAATGCAATATGCAATGCAACTAAATGCAGACAATAACGAAAGGTGGGAAAGCAGCGCAGCAAGGGTGAATCTGGCCTCCCGTAGCAAAAAATTTTACAATTAGTTAAGGGTAATGAGTACGATCGTGTTTTATCTAAATAACGGTTTGAGAGTTATTGGCAAAAAACGAAAATTTCGCAAAATCTAAAGGAACACCTCTGGAAATATCTCGGAAAAATTGAAAATTTTTTTTTTCTCAAAGTGTATCATATTCGCGATGTTCTTTAACTGATGTCAATTTTTAATCTGTTACGCGATGCATTGTAACAGTTAAATTGAAACCTATACATGTGTATTCGATGCGTCATTAGCAATCCCGACAGTCTAGCTGGTTAACAAACGTGCCGCTAAAATGTGGGTTGTCGGATCGCGCGATATCATCTGAAGACGATGATGCATAAAACGTGATGAAATCAGTAGCGGAGCCCTTAGCCTTGCTTCCGTACCGCTATCGCATCTAGCTCATATAGTTAAGAGCAAAACTGAGCACACGCTATTTGAAACATCTATACATGCATATATATAAATAATTTATGTATATATAAATATTTATATATATGTATTTTATATTTAATTATTTAATATCTGCAATATGCAATGTATAGGACTCATCTAAAGAAGCAATACCCGGACGTTCTGAGGATAACCGAGGCAGAGCGAGCGAAAGAATTATACTATTTTATATAATCTATTAGAATCTGTTAGAAATAAGAGCCTTTTGCCTAAATGAGTAAATGTTAATTATTTAATGTATGCTGCACCTATTTTTCTGGTATGCGTATGGCACTGTTTTAAAAAGGATTAAAATTGAGGAACGTATTTTGTGGCATCAGAAACTTTTATCTTGTCTTCCGAGGATTACATGTGTCCATCTCTTATTACACATGTGGTGATGTAAAATGAAAAATGGTATAGCTAGTATGCGGTCTGTAAATGTTTAGACTACGTTGATTCTATTATTGCCGCACTGGCGACAATATGTAAAGACGTATGTGTATAATTAAACGTAAATGAAGTTAGTACAACTTAATTACTCGCGTATGCATTAATTCGCTCGAACATAATTCTTGAATAATGAATAGTTCTCTATATCTGAATATCTTATTCTTATCGTCAGAATTAAAAGACGAACTATCATAAATTGTGGACTTTATGCAATTAAGAAAAAATTTTACGTGCAGAAATGATAAATACCTGCTGTAATATATAAGATAATTTGGAACATCGAAATTTAAATGCATAATTCAGTGTTTAAAGATTCGTAGTCTATTCATAAAAGAGCTCAATAATAATAATGTACATAGTATGTATGTATGTGCGTGTAATTATCTTACCATGCTCTTCTCGTTCTTCGGAACATGCATCGCTGTTAAAAGAATTGTCGCTTACATCAATCGCGTAAGAATCTTGCCATGAACGATATTTCAGTTCATTCAGAACACTTTTTGGTCCATCGTTTTCACACGATGGGACTTCCCACGCAGAAGACGCCGACGCAGATGTACACGCATGACGATCCTGGCTTTTCACAGATTCCACCGTGGAATTTACATCACTTTTTCCTATTGATTCGTCAATTACACTCATTTCATCGAGACTAGAATTGTGATGCAAATATTGCTCGCACCTTTTTATGAGAAAAACGCGTTAACTTAATAACGAAATTTTCGAACATGCAAAAGTGAAAATGCAAATCGTCATTGAAAAAATTAATACTTAATTATGTTTATAACTTATTTTTATTATTAATAATATTTTGTAATTATTCTACCTGTGCATTCGACAATTTCGGTTCATATCAGGAAACTGATTGTTCGCGACATAAAATGATGGCAGATTATTTTCGCTGAACGTAGACGTTGAGACATTACCGCAAGGATTTGAGAAATTATTCCAAACGTATTTATGGTAACGCATATACGAGTGATCCCTAGTCTCAGAAAAATAACAGCTCTGAAGATTCGCTTTAGAGCAAGACGGTATTAACGGTGTTTCGAAAAAATTACAACTCTTCTCGTCTACGTTTTCCGAGCAAGACATTTCATCTAAAATGAAGAAATCTTGTAAGTAATTTTTCGCTCGTTGAAAGTAGGAATGAAAATATTCTACGCGCTTGACTAAAGATTAGAAATCCATAAAAGATGAATGCAGTATTTATTTAATAAGAAATTTTAATTCCTCTGTATAAAAAAATTAATATTACAGCCGTAAGTTTTCCAGTTTGAATCCAATAAAATACAAGCAGATATTCAATTTCTTACCTAATAATTTATCAGTATCAGTCACTATTCAGTTGTTCTTCGTCACAAATATTTATGTACTAACAATAAGTAGTTCGCAAACGAAGTGTATTATTCAATGAATTGCTGTTAGAGTCAAACGAGAAGTGGCATTCTTCCGATCGTTCGAGTAAAAAGTCACGTTTCACTTATTAATTCTATTCGACTTCTAGACTTCAAACAAGAGGGTATGTAATTCTGTAACGTGGAAGACGGTGTAAAGTCTAGATCCAAATGGAGAACACACGGAGGCGGTCGGACTGGAGTAAGTCTCGTAGGGAGGGACAAATCTTCCGCTAGCAGTTCTCTGTTGATTTCAACCAACCCGAACAGATTTCAATCAGCAAGGGAAAAACGGATGGTCGGCATACACACTTAGGAAACATACATTAAAATGAATGTGACTCTATCAGCCAATTATTTTACAACAGATTTCGGAAAACCCCAGATTTTATAAACACAAAGAAATAATTTCATCCTGTAATAAAATATTAACAAGAACTTGTACTTTTTGTATATTAAAAAATGTTTTATAAAATATTTTGCATACTTATTATCTTTTCGTGTATGTATTTAAAATTTCTATGGTAATTCGAGTTAATCATCGTAAGAATTTATTTCGCTTAATAAAGCTTCAAATAATGTGCAATTATAAATTTTTAATTATTGTCTTCATGGAATCATTTTGTGTATATAAATAATATCACTGCATCGATGTGTGAGGCATTACAGGTTTTTGAGCATATGCGTAGTTCAATAATTCAGTGCTTGCACCTAAGAAAACAGTGCAGCGAAAAGAATGACGGTGATGAAAATAATGGTACTCCCTGTCCCTCTCAAGGATCAGGTTCTCTTCCTTTAGGGATGCAGAGGTCCCATTAATCATTTGTATTGTTTAGCTTTCTTTTTTCTACGTCGATTTGTGTCCATACACTCGTATGAAAAAAGATTTGTCTACACAGAACTCTCGACATCTACATTTTAGATGAAATGAATTTCTATGGAAGTACCAATTTAAGGATGTATTGGCTATACAGTCAATCCCAAAAGTTTATGCACTTTAGAAACGCATTTTTTAAAAAGAAATCAGACGTCGGAAGAACATTGCTAATAATAAAGAACAAAAAAAAATTTTCGATTTTTCCGAGATTTTTCCAAGGGGTACCCCTTCAGATTTTGCGAAATTTTCGTTTTTGGCCAATAACTCCCAAACCGTTGGACATACGGGAAAATTGTATAGGACCTTTTTCGTAGAGGACGACGAGATCTACAATTTC